CGCCCGCGCCGAGCACTGGGGGGCCCATGCCGGGCCACGGCGGGCGCGGAGAAGAAGCAGCCGGGGCGGGGCCGCGCGCGGAGCTATAGAGGGCAGTGGGGGGGGGGGCTGCGCGCGTCGGCCGCTCGGGGCGTGCTCGGACTACGTCTCCTCCTCCTTTTCCGAGGAAGGCCGCGGGAGCGATCGCTCGAGGCGTCGGGCGCGCCCGCCGAGGCGGGCAGACAAGTCAGGCGTCTTGGGCGCAGCCGCAAAAAGACCCGGAAATAGGGTGGCTGCGCCCAAGGCAGAAGCAGTAGCAGTCGAGCAAGCGATGCTCGACCAGGCCTTGGTGCTTCAGGACCAAACGAGGGAATGAACCTGTCTGAACAGGAAGGACATCCGCATCTGCAAGGCTAGGTCGAGCTGGGGCTTCGGGAACAGGCTCTGCGACAGGGCTTCGGAGGTGAGGTAGGGGAAGAACCATGATAATGATGATAGTGAACATAAAGAGGGTGAGTACGAGGAGAAATCTAGAGAAACAGCCTGACCTGAAACGACATGCACGTGCCTCCTCCACCTCCGTCTGACAACTCCACCTCCAGGTCCTCGTGGCTCGGCGCTACGGCCGCCACGGCGGCGCGGCTCGCCCGCAGTGGGCGTCGGTGTGACCGCTGCGGTCACTGCGGCAAGCAGCGCAGTCTCCTCCAGAACCTCCTCCCGCCTCCAACTCAAACAAACAACTCCGCCTACGAATCATCGTGGCTCACGTGCCACGGCCGCCACGGCACTGCAGCGCGCCCGAAGCGGGCGTCGGTGTGACCCTTGCGGTCACAGCGACGGGCAGCGAATCTCCTCCAGGGCCTCCTCCCACCACCAACGTCACCTACTCGCCCCTCCCCCCCACCATCTGACTAGCCTTCTGCGGCTAGGAGCCGTGCTTGGAGGCTGCCTCCTGCCAAGGCGCGGGCAAACACACGCGCGAGGCCCTGGGGCCATTCTCCTCGCCCTCGTTCGTCGGCAGCGCCGTGCCTCTGATGGAAGCAGACACCGCCGTTCTCGAGCGAGGACCAAACACTCCAGCACAAGTGAACGCCTAGCACGGCCATCGGGCGATAAGCGTCGCCGCTTGGCGTGCAGGCGTCCAGTCTACGTAGTTATATACGCTGAGCGCCCAGAGCAACCTGAAGCTTTGGAATCAAAGCCTGCATTCGCAATGCCACCTTGTGTTGCACCAGCGCGCAGCATGGTACACCAAGACAGAACGCCGCATTCAATAAAAGAAACATAATTTTGAAACTCTCATTGTCACGAAGAACACGCCTCAGAACAGCTCCTTTCAGTGACATCAGTCCCCATGGTTGAACATCAGAACGAATCTCAGGCTGGCCGAGCGTAGTGTCCGTACGCGGCAGAGCCCATATCTCCAACTGGGGCTCCATGCAGACAGCCAAGACGTTCCCCAATTTCATATCCTCGATGATGGACAATGCTGAGTTCACTTCAAAATCTGCCATATCGAACAAACCAGAACAAACGTCATCACTCATATGCACGTCTTCAGAACGAATCAAGTAGCGTTGTTCTTGAACTTTACAGTTGATAAGCCTCTGATACCAATCGGTAAGGTCTCCTCGGCGTGGAGGAGCCGCGTCTAAAACAACAATCGTCGGGTGGGTCGCTCTCGTGTTAGTGCCCACCAGTGCCTGTTTGATCAATACCTTTTCCACATGAACTTGAGGCGCTTGAGGTGGGACAAAGGGAAATCCACGGCCACCAAGAGAGTCCTGAAGAATCGCATGCCGAAACACCTTATGCCTGTGATAACCGTAGTGGGCGTGACCTCTCTCGCACTCGAGATCATGACTTCGTAGGAGTTCGCAATCTTCTCGTTCCATGGGTATGCAGTTCTGCTGCAGCCAGTCGATGCAGTGGTTCCCGGCGCTACGCAGGTGTTTGACGAGCAGCGACCTCGATCCGAACTTTGTGCCACATGCCCCACATTGCGTCCCCAGTGCAAGAAGCTGCGCATCGTCAAGCGGGTCATGCTGTAGCATATGGCGTCGCCACGAGGCGTTGGTACGCATGAGCTGCCCACATTCATAGCATATGAAAAGCGTCTCAATGTTGTGGCTGTGGCTGGTGTCGCTTAGGTGCGATGTGATCCTGGAGTTGTTAAGCTGGATGCGCATGTCATCCAACTGCAAGAAACCCAACGTTGCCACGCACGCTTAACGAGGTTCGAGTACTGCCTTGGGCATGCTCTAACATATCTAAACCAGCGGGTAAGAGACCAGGTACTCATCTCGGTCGAGGTTGCGTCCGTCCTCGCTAGCCAGCGGAGATCATCAAGCGCCAAATGCACCCGCGAGTTGGGAAAAGCCGCTAGCTGATCCAGTAAATAAAACAGCGCAGCGGGAGGGTGTGCCAGCAACGATCCAAAGTATGACAGCCTACGTTTCCTCGATATATGTTCTAAGTGTAGCCGGCCTGCCTGCGCTAAATGTCTAGGTCCAATGTGAAATCCGTAGTCTCGGCATGGTGAAGTCGCCCTTGGACGGCGCGATATGAAGATACACGTACCTTTTTCAATCATGGCCAACTGTGCACTGGTGAAAGGCTCCCAAGTCTCACAAAGATAAGTCAAATGTACATTCGCGAAGATATCGGCCACGTTTGTTTTTGCTCGAACAGAAAGGCGATCCAGGCGTCGGCACATGCGTCGAATAGGTCCGAATGCTGTACGCTGTTTGTCACACAAGGCTGCTAACCGATCTCCTAGAGAAGCATGTTGATCGAGCCTTGCCCCAAGATCTGTGTATGCACTCGCGACTAAAGCACGGACTCCCCACCTTGGGGATCCAACCACCATCGTAGAACGCGTCTCCAGCTGTTGTCGTACTTGACGTGATCCTTCCCCGAGCGGGACTAGGAACAGACTACTCCTGTTTGCCTTGTAATTGACCGTGTGGCCGTAGCACAGCATTGTTCCATGGGCTATGTCAACAACTGCACCCGCCACGTCGATGACCATCGAAGCCGATGAAGGCGAAAGCATGAACAGCGCATCGTCCACAAAGCTCGCATCGCATAGCTCGGGTGTATCTGTCCCGTCGGGAAGGTGCTGTTGCAGGCCTGGAGGGTGTAGTGGCAGGGGCGCTCCGAGCGCTATCAACTTGTCTGTGATCGCCGTGAGCGGCTTCAGGAAGGATAGGTTGAATATAGCATCGGCAAGGTTGCTCCCAGGGCGCGTGCCTCGACGTGACCTGGCCAGTGTCTGTGTAGAAGTCATGCCAAAGTACGTGTGGCGATGCCCTTCAATCAGCAGAGTCAGACGATGAGGGTTCGTGTTTGCCTCTGACAACGTAGCAGGTTGAGCAAGAACAAACGTAAACATAGGCATCAACGACAGCGGTACCTCATGCTCGTGAAGAACGTAGTCTCGATCGTCCATCACCCTTGGAGGGGAAGACGAGGGATCTGATGGCTAAGTAGACGGCTGCCTTGAGGTCCACGAAGTACACCACACTTGATATTTTAAGGTGCTCACAGACTCGAAAAAAAGAAGTGGCCAGTTGAACCAGGGGGCCTGGTCCCCTATGAGCTCGACCCCCGCATTGAGTATGGCGAAGCATGGTATCCGTGTACTCGATGAGTTGATTGCGCAACAATCTCTGCCAAGCTTTACTGACCACTCCATTCGGTAGGATCGATCGGTCGTACTCTAGGTGGCTGGGTGAACCGTTACCCTTAAGTGAGGCGAAGACTGTTCCGTGCTTCCAGGCTAGCTGTTTCTGCTGGTGTATAGCGGCCTTGAGCATGATGGGAGCATAGCGACGTGCCGCAGCTCGAGGTTGGCAGCGGGGTAGACCGCCTGATATACCATCCTGGCCAGGTGCTTTTCGTCTCTTGATCTCGCCGAGCATTCCTGCAAGTACTCCAGGTGTAGGTAGCATGCTGGCACCGAGAGAGGTGTCCTCGGACTGATGGTGCATGGTGGAACTGTAACACTCCTCCAGCTGCTCGATGCTGGTACGCTCAGCATCCTCAGTTGAAGCATAGTGTTTGATAATGGCCTCCGCTTCCTCCTTCTCGTTCTCAATTGGTTTTCCTTGGCTGTCGAAGAGGAGGGCGCTCTTCGCTGACCTGCCAGCCCTGCCTCCATATCTTAGAACTCGCTTGAGCGCCCGCCGCTCGCCATGTGCGTCACCTGCTAGTGCCATCAGGGTCATCTCACCCGCCAACCTCTCAACATGCTGTGTCCGATCACGTCGTACTTGTTGGCGTGTCACTCGAGTGGTTTTTGCCAGAAAGTTTCGGAGCTCCTGCTGGAACGTATTCTGTGGCATTGCTGGGTCGGTCTTCATAGTGAAGCAAGCTAGGCGAAGTTGACCAACTGCATCAGCCCAAGGTGCATCTGAGGGCGGGCGGGGGAGGTCGTCTTGAAGGCGGGCAATCAAATCGGTCCACAGGGGATTCTTGATGCCATGGCAAGGTAGCCAACGCAGTGCTCGCTGGACGTATCGACGAAGGCGCATGAGGCCCATGGTCGACTCAGTAATGTACTCCTTTATAAAGTTCAATCTGTCGCGGCCGAAACATGTCTTGACCGCTTGGGCAACGTGGGCGTCCGTAGACCGCTGGTGCATATTAATGACAACACCCCAGTGGTAGCTTCGCTGAGCCGAGTATATTCTGGAAGTTGTGCTGATGATCCTCATCGCGTAGTTTGTTCTGGTCTAAGAGCGGGCGGTTCCGAACTGGCTTGTTGACTCGCTCTAGGGCACCTTGGATAATGGCAACAGCTGGTAGGTGATCATCAGCGGAGACATGAGTGTCGAAGCTGTAGTCGGCCCAGCAGCCCTTCGTCATCGAGTGGAACAAATCGCGTGACAAGATGTAGTCAGTGCGGTGCTCGGTGTGGCTGGAGCGGACGTATGTATGACCCCCTTCGTGAAAATGGTAGGTGCTTTCTGCATGCAGCCGAACATCATTAGCTAGATTGCGCAAAAGCCTACCAGGGCCATCGTCTTGATCAGGTGCGCAGTATCTAGGGTGGAAGAAACGACCGTGCTGTCCTCCACGCCGTTGAGGTGGTGCAGGCTTCCAAGCTTGGCGTTCATGTCGCCAAGGATGAGGGATGGGGGCCACTGTTGACAAAACCGATGGAGCTGCTCCCACCAATGTGTGTAGTCGAGCGTGTCATGTCCGATGTTGGGCGCATGGGCAACGTAAATGACTTCGTCCTGCCCAAAGATCCTGATCTTCGTGATGAGCAGTCTGGTGTCTGCGTGCAATACTCGAACATCACCTGCACGGAAGGTCTTCTCCCCATTGTGTCTCGCCGTGCGGTTTGCTGACGTTGAGCATGAGAGCACATCCCAGCCTGTTGGTTTCACCAGTGCCCACCACCACGTAGCCGTCAAGTAGCTGTGGCGTGGTAGAGGCAGGTGTCTCCTGGCAGCCGACGATATGAACGCCGAGCTGCTGCATCTGAGCTCGGAGCAATTGCGGACGGAGTCGAGATGTATGGCGGCCACTCGTGTCGGTGAGTACCGCCCTCTGAGCATTGAAGGTCGCCGCCTTGATCTCCAGCTGATAGTGAACAGTGCGTCCTAGCTCCTCGGGCTCTCGAACTTCATGACATATCTGACGACGGGGTCGTGCATGAAAGCCCTCATCGTCAAGGTAGGGGTATGCGTCCGCATCCGCATTGAATGGATCACGAAGAGCAGCCCATCCCCAGAAGGGTGATAGCGTCAGCATACAAACAATAGGTGCTGGAAGAGGTGGAGGAGGGTGTTGACGCGCTTGCTTGGAGACGACGTCCACAAGCTCGTTCCACGGGTTCCCGTGGTGCCCGTGAGTATGAGAAATACGAACTTCCTTCTCATCCTAATCGTCTCGTGCACATGTGATGCTAGAATAGCGAAGGGCTCGCTCTGCACGGCACCCGTGGTAACACGCGCAATAGCAGGCTCGCAATCACTCAAAATCTCCACGTATGCGTTGCTCGGGAGCTGCCGGCTATACAGAAGAGCCCACAGCAAGCCGGCTGTCTCAGCAATCACACTGCTGAAGTTGGTGACCTCGAAGGCCACGCACGATGTCAGAACCGCGCTCAAAAAGCCTTCATATCGATAAACGTCGTCACTTTCGGATAAAACGCACAGAGCCCATGCCGAGTTGGTCGGGTCCGACTCCATGAACGATCCGTCTGTGAAGATCGTAAAGCCCTTAACGCTCGATGTGTGTGGCGTAGTGAGACCAAGAGCCAGCTTCGTGTGGGAATGTAGATCGAAGTTGGCGAGGTCGCGTCGAAGTCGACGGTGATGTCGCTGCCCAAGATATTGTGCGGGAAGGGACATAGGGACCTGCATCTGGATGCATTTGTCCAAACCACTTAGCAGCTGCACGGATGTCGATGCAACCGAAGATATACTGTGAGGTGATACGCTAGGTGGTTGTCGTACTGGCCGTGGAGGTGATGGCGTATCAACATATAGGTGAGTGCGCACATCATGAGGAATAACAGTATCGCGAGAGACACCTACCCCGCCAGGAAGGACTTAGTGACAATCATGCATAGCGCGATCCTGCTGAATTCGCTGAGCTGGACTAGCACGGACCTCATGTACATCTGAGGAAGGTGTGTCATCAACGGCATCAAAGTCTTAGTGCCGAAGAGTTCGTGGGGCGATTATACTTGGGTGGGAGGGAGGTAGTAGGGGTGTCGGCGCCGCCGCATCGCTCAACACCCCCGAGGCTGCGGTCACGGGTGTGCCCCATCTGGGGCTGCACCGTGATCGTCCGCTCGCGGTGGCGTGGGTAGTGGTGTCGGCCATTCACCCGTAGCTGTAGCCGCAGCCCCTCTTGAAAGTAGAGTACGTGATGATGCCTGGTTCGCGTCCATGTCGGTAGGCATCTCCTGAATCCTTGTAGTCTTGCGTGGTGGTGTCTTACGCGGAAAACTGCGGTCAGTATCCTCACCAACCGAGTCTGCAGCGTCGTTGTGGCGTAGCTCAGTAGCACGAGCAACCTGTGGTGATTCGTTGATCTCGATCACAACGTCAGCTGCACTCTGCTGGGGGACTTCTTCGGCAACTTCAGTAGGTGGGAGAGAGCATTCACCGTCTGAGACTGGCTGATCAACACTTTTATCGGTACCCCCAAGCTCTGCAATGATTTTGGCACTCTCCTCCCGAAAAGCTGCGGCCTCTTCTGACTGCTGAAGTTCAAGCTCTGCTAGTTCCCGCTCGTCCTCTGCAGCTAACTGGTCAAGCTCCGCCTGTGCCTCTCGCTGAAGGCGCGCCAGATATGCTCCTGCTCGTATTCCTGTGCGGCGTTCATGGCGGAGATGGCATCGTACGGGTCAGGGGTCGCAGGGTCCTCCTCCTCCACTACATTAGCGGAACCTGGACGACTTTGATGTATAAAAGAGGATGCCAGTATGGCACCCTCTTCGTCGGGAAAGACAGGACGAGCTCCGCCACAGCAAGTGCAGGACGTATCATGTTCTTCCTCAGGCTGACCACCGAAGACACATAGCCAAGTACAGTATGTTGTAGGTAGCGCTTGGTGTTGGTGAACCCCAGGCGGCCCATCGTCTTGATCCATCTGAAACTGCTGAGGCGTCGCCGTACCCAGTGCTGGTGTATGCCTGGGTTCAGAAGGTGGATCACGGCGCGCGGCCGCCTCACGTGCAAGAAATTCCTCGACCTTTCTCTCTGTTGAACCCGTCGATGGTGTGATGAGTCCTTGTGAAGCCTTTTGCAACCTCCAGTCTGTGAGCTCGGTCTCGCACTGGGCGGCATCCCTGGCAAGCTGGGCCTCGCGGTCCTCCAGCTTAGCGTTGTCGACTTCAGACTGGCCCTTGGACATATTGAACTATGGCGCTGCAGTCGAGGGTGATGCTGACGATGGTGTGGACTGTCGTGGCCGTGCACTCGCACGGACCCTTTGGGGGCCGTGCGGCTGAAGACATTGAGGTGTGCTTGCTGGTGTCGATGCTGTAGGAGATGGAAAAGTAGCTGGGGGCTCATCGAACTTACCCAGGCCACAGGCTCTGCACTTCATGCTTTCATTCGGATTGGCCTGTGCACACAGTGGGCATACCCAGTGGCCCATCTTCGAATTTGAATACGACAGTGATTCAACCTGTTCTTCATAACGTTTTGCACGGGCCTGGGCCTCCAACGAACATCTTGTGCGCTCCTCATCCTGGCGATCACGATCACTCTGTAGTTTTTTTTCCACTGCTCGTTGTACTCGTTGGTGGTGCGTGTGCGTAGCTGAGCCATGTTCAGCATCTGTCTGGTGTTGACTTCGCGCATGCTCTGCTCGAACTTAGCTGCTTCTGCTGCGAGGGCTTCCTTTTGCTCGTGCTCCATATGTTGCGCCTGCTGCTGCTGAGCAATCAGATATTCCTCAAAATGCACCTGTGCTTGGCGATTCTGAACAGATTCGAGCTGCTGTTGTGACATACGATGTCCAAGCTGATGATGTGCTTGGCGTCTCTGAACAGGTTCCTGCTGCTGCGCTTGAAGCCGCTGCTCGAAGTAGTTCCGCTGCTTCTGCTCTTGATAGGCAGCCCTCTGCAACGTGGCCTCAACCTTGGTCTGCATGCTGTGCTCTACTCGATCGTGTTCAGTCTGAGCTTCACGAAGTAGATGTGCCGTGCGATCATCACGGTCTTCATTGGCTTGGCGAACCTCAACCTCTAGATGCCGTACCTTGCGTTCAGCCTTCACCATGACGGCGCGCAATTGTTCTTCTCCCGCTGTAATACCAACCTGTTGTTGAATAGATAAAACCTGCTTGACTCCATGTTCCTCCTTGACGTCCCGCACGCTGGCAGACATCGCTGATGCTGTGCCCGCTGCTGCTGGAACTCCCTGCTCGATCTTGACCTGGTACTTGGGCGCTGGCGTAGACAGGATAACTGACTTGGGTGCTGGAGTCGTTGGTGCTGCTTTGACTGCTGATGGCGTCTTCTGCATTATGATGGCTGCGGCACGTGCTTGACTTGCTGGATTTTGACGACCTAACTGGGCCACAACACCTGGTCCCTCTGCATATGGTTGATCCAAAGATGCTGCACATGTCAAATGCCTTCCGTCAACGATCGGCGTGCCTGATGGTAGTCGTGGCGCTCTCTCTGGTGGCGGCGGCGGCGGCGGAGGAGGGGGTGGCGGTGGTGGTGGAGAAGTAGCTGATGCAGCCGCCACCCCTGCCTTGTGCCGCACCAAAACCTTGCGTCGATCATAACCCTGGTCGCGGCTGTCCGAGCTGATCTCCGCCGCCGCCATATTCTCACCTGGTGTAGCATCCTTCAGAAGGTCCTGATAATAATGTAACATTGACTCCTCATGGACCATATCGATATTCAAGTCATCAACCTTCTTCAAAATCGCAACAGTTCGTTCTTCATGAAGTGCGATGTTGGCTTTGCATTCTTTTCTTTGAATCTCCGTCGGCTTTGCACGCCAGGCCATCCACTTCAGTACTGAGAGCTCATGCTGTTGCGATGTGAGATCAGCGCCTACCGCCTTGGCCTGGATGATGAGCTGGGCCAGTTTTGTCATGCGGGTGTCCACGTCCTGGCGATGCGTTCTCTTGGCTGGACCGCCTCCTGGCGGTTCACGTAAGCTGGGGTGTCGGACAGCATACTCCTCCGTGGGCAGCATAGTCGCGTCGATCAGCTTGCGCACGTCCTCCTTCATCTGCATGCTCTCCTTCTCACGACGCTTGTTGTCCATGACAACAGCCTGCTGCCGCCTCCACGTATTTTTGCAACCATGCCCCTTGCAGTAGTACTCACCCGCAGCGTTGGCATGGCTGCACTGGTTACACGTCCACTTCTGAGCTCGGGATGCCATCTCTGGACCTTCTGCTCGACCTGCTCGTGCTGCACGATGTGGCTACCAGCGTGATGACCCGTCAGGAGCTGTCGAGCTCGATCCAGTCGCAGCAGTAGTCTCGCGGCTGCCCGTGCTCGCCGTTCACGGCGATGCCGAGCTGGCGAGCGCCTCTGCCGCTTGGGCGTCTCCCCCCGCAGCAGGCGGCGTCCCCGCCTCGCGGGCCGCCTGGCCGCGCCGAGCCGCACCCTCCCTGCGGGAGGCCCGATGGCGCGGCGGCGCGCGCGCCGCGGACGGGCCCCACCCGCACACGAGAGGCACGGCTTCGTCTCTTCCTCCTCCTCCTCCTCCTCCTCCTCCTCCTCTCCTCCTCCTCCCCCTCCTCCTCCTCCCCATCCCCTTCCTCCTCCTCCTCCTCCTCCTCCTCCTCTTCCTCCTCCTCCCCCTCCTCCTCCTCCTCCCGCTTGTGGATTCGCCGGCCATCAGCAATGGGCAGTTGGCTGGTGCAGCGTTCGCATCGGCGCCCACAGCGAAGGGCCCCGAGCAGCTCGCAGCCATGTTGCTGGGCACCCTGGGAGGAGCAACAGGATTGCGGGAAGTCAGTGATGGGGGCTGGCGACTATGTCGTCCGCGCTTCAAAAGACGTCGAGACATACCTGGGATTATATGTTCTCGATCTCATGGGGCACGGCGAATCGCCGCGCCCACTGATTCCCTCCAGTCAGGCAGGACAGACTCTGATGCGCACTCCTCTCGACGATCGCG